TAGTCTCTCCCGATGATTAGTCAGAACTGTGGTGGTTGGTTGCTCACTATTCTCTCTCAAGATTAATCGAGATGCATGTAAGCCCGAAACCTTGGTTAAAAAAAATATAATAATAAATAAAGTAAATTATACAGAAATGAAATTTAAACAAAAATCTACTATAAAACACAATTTGACAAATAAAAACTTAATATATTGGTTAATAAAAATTTAAGAGAAAAAAGAGTAAATTTCCACTTTCCAAATTAACACATGATTATATCAACTTTTAAGAGTAAGATCGTCATTATAATAAAAGGATTTTTCCGTATTTCAAAGCTAACATGGTGATAAGGGGTTAATATTAATTGACTCAATTTAACTTTACCTTGTAACGCCATCTAAACAAGACATTTTCAGGGGGGGTCAAACCTAATCACTAGGGGTGCATAAAAAACCCTAACAATATTCTTCAGCTTTAATCTAATTTTGTGTCTATTAAGAAATCATTACTAGATTTAACTTCTAACATTCAGGAACACATGTAATTTGAATTCGTGCCCTTTTTACTTTTTTTTTTCTTTAATTAACTATCATCTTTTAGCCATTGGAATTAGCTTACCTCTTTATCTTTTGTGTTTGAGTCGCAAGAGAGGCAATTATTGGATTTACCAAAAAAATTATATCTATTTATTTTAATTCCATTTAGTCCAAAACAGTTCAATTTTATCCAATCTTTGATAATAATTGGAAGTTGTTGAAAATACATAAAAAAAATAAGAGGCATCACTTTGTCTTATTCTGTGTCTTTTAGCGTTGGAATAACTAGGTGGAGATTCCGAAACCTGATGCATGGCAGAGTAGTTAAAGTATAATTTTCTAAAAGAATATTTGGAAAGAAATTACTATATTGTATAGATGGTTCTATCTAATCCTTAATTCATATTCCAATTCTCACTATACTTTCTCTATGGAGCTCATATTCTCCAACTTCTCAATCCTTCTCACCTTTCTTTCTTTATCCTCATGGTCCTGAAAATAGGAAGACTTCAAAAACATAATGAAACTTCAAATCTACCTTCAGGCCCACCGAACTGCCTTATTGGAAATTGCACAGCTTGTTGGCTCTTTACCACATCGCAAACTCAGAGATCTCCCAAGAATATGGACCCTTTATGCATCTCCAGCTTGGAGAAATTTCTGCGGTTATTGTTTCATCGCAGGGTTCGCGAAAAAAGTGATGAAACTCATGATATATATTTGCATCAAGGCCTTATAATCGAGCACCAGTATCATGTCTTATGTTATAACATGTTTGCAAGAAAGGGAAGTCGCCACCACAGGAGCTCAAGTTGGAGAAATCAGCCGCAATGTCAGGAGGCTAAGCAGCTCTTTGTGGCTCTTGTTACACAGCTCTACGCATGAACTTGGTTTTGACATGGATGCACCAACCAATGATTGCAGACATGCAAAAATTCATGAACCTGGACGACCATATAGCTCCAAAGTTAAAATTGGAATGGTGATTTGTGTAAGTCAAAGGCATAAGTGATGTGGTTGTCCAAACTCATACAGTACTAAAATCATTTCTAATGTTTTGTATGTATCTGGAATCAGTCAAAATTTTTATGATTGGGCAAATGTTAGAGAAGGGTTATTCTCTACATTTCAAAATCAGGGTTGTGTCATTTTAGATGCTGATGGAAATGAACTAATGTGTTGAAAATGATGGGAAAAAGCTCCCAATTGAGTGGAAGAATTCTGAAATTTAGCCTTATCATCTAGGCTGAAGATTTGAACTTTGGCATAAAAGGCTTGGCCATTGTCACTACAATGGCATCAAAGAGCTCAAGAACAAAATATGGTTCTGACTTGCCTCAGATTGAAGAAAAAAGACCCTATGCAGTGCCTCCACTTGGTAAGTTATAGGCCACCCTTTCCCACGATCAGGTTTGGAGAGCAACTGAAAAACACCAGCTGATCCTGCTGATGTTTGTGGCCTTATACAAGTTGAATCCATGAGTGGGAGCAGGTATTGTGCTCCTTTTGATGACATCACGGATTACTTGAGTGTATTTCCAAAGCAAAAGAATGAGGTTGCTACTGTGTTTAAAGTTTTCAAGTTGTGAGAGTGACAATGGGATAGAATACACATCAAAAGAGTTTGATTTATTTGCAAAGATGCAGGATCAAGCACCATTCACTACTCCATACACTCCATACAACAAATAGAGTTGTAAAGAAGAATAGAACACTTATGCACACTTGTTTTTATTAGGAGACTTTGAATAAGCTTCAGTGAATAGTCTACTACTCTTACATGTGACTTTTTGTTCAATTGTTTCCTGCAGTAATATTATTTACAAGATGTTTTACCAAAACGTGTTTAAGACACTGAAAAGCATTTCCAAATATTTTACAAAGAATACTAATTTTAAATCAAGTTTAAAGTGAATAAATAAATAATTTATTTTGAATAAATATTTTAGAAAAAAAAACATTTACAAGTGTGAAATGAAAGAAAAATATGTAGAATTGGTGGAAATCAATTCTAAAATAATTATAGGCTTGACCTCCTATAGAGATCTATCCAACTAAGAATACAATATGTGGTAAATTGCACTGGTGATTCTTGATATGATGATGTGTTAAAGCTTCAAGTGGAGATTGTTGAGTGAAGCTTTAAACGGTGTCGCATTGCATCTGCCGATACACTGTCGTTTTGGACTTAACTTAAATGACAATCTCAGCCTAGAATCCAACATGATCCAATGGCTCTAATCAGTCCAACAAGTCAAACTAATAAAGCTGGGTTGTTCAAGAGAAATACAGGTGAAAGAAACCTCTCTCGCTTTCTTTCGACTCTGTTAGGGTTCTTGATTTAGACTCTCTTCAAATCGTGTAATCAGGTCACAATTGGTGAATATTGTGGGTAGAAAAATAGGTTTCTTCTGGTATAGACATCTTGTTTAGTGTCTGCTTTGTTGTGATTACTGGGTGATTTTGAGGGATTGTTGTGCGTGAGAGGGTTGGGTATTTTTGTGTTGATTGGTTTGTAATTGTAAGATCTTGATCCTTATAGTGCATGAGCCCCAAATTACTTGGAGCTCAACTGATGTATTTATCCATTGGATAATGAACCATGGTAAAATCGTTCTTTTCTTGATTTCTTTCTTGGTTGATTTGTGTTGTTTGTGTTGGTAGTGATAATTGTTAGTATTGAGTTTGATTAAAACCCAACACTTATAAATTAAAGATTAACAGTTTATAAGACTCCAAAGAATCATTAATGGATATAATATATGTAAGAACTACAAGATGAAACTCACACAGAACACAAATAAGAAAGACACCCAAGAACCAACACACAACACAGATTTTTACTATGGTTCACTTATCCAAATTGGATAAGCTACATCCACGTTGAGCTCCGGAAATGGGAGAGCTCGCTGCACTACTTATTAGAAAAGATCCAACCAAGAATAATTACAAGCCTATCAACCTCTCTCTGTTACAAGAAACCCTCACTATAACTACTCCTTGAGACACTCACCTAGAATCCCCAAGAACAAGAGCAAATCAGCTCTCCTGATTGATTACCAAATCACCCAATCAACCCAAGTTATAAGAGTTTCCTTAACCAAACTAAACAGCCCAAAACAGAGAGAAAAACGCGAAAGAGTAAAATTTTAAGCAGAAGAAAAACAGCAGCAAAAACTATCGTTGACTGTGCATCCCTCTCATTTTATATTGTTGACTCAGTGAAGATTCTTAGCCATCAGATCAGGTTTGGATCAACGACTAGGATTCATTTCAGCCAAATACCAAACGCTGCGTTTCATTAAACTCCACAGTAGCAAAATTTCAGTCTTCACTTCAACAATATACCTCTTAAGATAGCTACTTCACTGGAGTCTTGAATAAGCATTGAGAAAATAATGCAGACTGAATAATATCATATAAATTTTGCTAGAACCTTGAATTCGAAGAGTTTAATTTATCTATCGGCAATTGGGCATTGAAAATTGATCAGAGGCCGCTTCGGCTTCAAACCAAGTTTTTTCACACTATTTTTCTAATTGGCTTGTTCTGTACATCTAGGTTTTCAAGGATGACGCGTGCAGAGTGAGGAGCTTTTCTTTTTTCAATGAATATATTTAACTCCGGAAAAATGGTGGTATTACATACAGATTTTACACTCTTGTTTATAGGCTCAAATATCTTAGATAAATGATTACTCAGTTTGACAAAAAAATTAAAAAAAAAAATAATTCATTTCCAAATCTTGATTAATTATTCAGGCCTTCCCAACCGGGTGTTTGTGGTTACCAAAGCGTTTTTTCGGATTTGTTGGAAACAGAGGTACTGTATTTGTTTGACAACAACAGCTTGAGTCTTGACCATGAAATAATTTTGGGTGGAACAAAAATGCCCTGCATTATGATAAACACTTTGTACCTATAGGCATTACATTTATAATTTGTTGTTTTAACAGCATAATCAATTTCAAGAAAAGAAAAGGGAATACTAAAATTTGCAACTGAACAGTTATTTTAATTGCATCCTGAAATTACTTCATATTCATGTGTCAGGATCAAGACAGAATCATATTTTTTGGTATCGAACTTTCCATTGTTGGCATTAGGATTTCTGAGCTGAAATTGAGATGAACAAAATAAGTGCGGGTTACTTTTAACTCATCGTTAATTTACACCAAGTAAATTTAGTAATGTCCAATTATATATAAGCCAAACTAAGGCAACAACAAAGTATGTGAACTGCAAAATCAAGTTCCCCCAAATTGGACAGTTTAAATAGAACTACATAATTTAGGAGAAAGTCGCCCATCACTCTTACCAAAACCAATAAATTTGGGTTTCACGAGGGCAACCTAAACCAAAACAAGGTGCAGAAATTTAATACAGAAAATGAGTATCAATTTAACATGCTTAACAACCTAAAACAGTTGTTGCTGAAAGCAATTGGAAGATCTTTTACAATAGGTTATTGATAAGTTAAAACTACTCCCGCAATGTTACTTCAGCTCCAATGACAAAACTGTCATCCACCAAATAACCTTGTTTTGGGTCCTTCAGTTTAGCCAATGACATGAACTTTCTAAATCCTAGCGCGTGGTCGCATGACGTAGTATATATACAGGTATTCAGCTGGAGGTAGAAACAGAAGCATTAAAGAAACTCTATGTTTTGCACTCCATCACTAACAAAAATAATGAATTTGGTAAACAATTTACTAATTTAGTATTTGAAGGAATACTTGAGCGAGTCAAATCTAGAAATAGTTAAATAGAGTTGCCACTGCCTTATGCGACTCCATTAGGGTGCAACAAAACTTTCCAGCAATAATATACTATTACATTAAACAACTTTAATAATTAAAGCAATGGAAGATCTTTTATAACTCTGTTACAGCTAGTCCAAGCAATGTGACTGCAGCTTCAACGATAACAATGTCACCCACCAAATATCCATTTTTAAGGTAACAATTTAGCCAATGACAGAAACTTAATAAAACCCAACGCAAGGTTGCTTGAGGTATACAGGTAGTCAGCTGGAGCGAAAACGTACAAAAGCAGAAAATACCACAAAGTTTTATTAATCGCCAGATATCAGAAAGTCATTGAAAGAAAACTAAGCACAAAAAATATTCTTTTTTAGGTATCAAATTAGTGTTGCTTCACCTACTTAAGGATTATATCTACTCTAGGAATGACGTACCTTTAGTTAAGATTGGGGTTAGTCTCACCTCAAAAATATCCATGGTCTTACCTGAAAATTCAATGTTTTTGAAATTCCTTAACCTTTGGTCTCTGACACGCAGAATGAATTTCGTTAACAATTTAGTATTTGCGGGAATACTTGAACGAGTCACGTCAAGAAAGAGTGAAATAGAGTTGCCCTTGCCCTCTTTGCATCCTTTAGGGCAAAACAAAATTTTCCTGCGATGCGAAATATTGACCAACTTCAGTACTACTTCTTTGCATAATAATAAGTCAATTAAGTTTTATTTATCGTCAAAGCAAATATAAAATATACCATTTGTAACATCCAAATGTTTCGGACTCATAGCGGTCATTTTGCAAAGTTGAAAAATTCTCAATTTCCCAAGTGTGGTAACAAGTTGGAGGATCACTCATCGTTGATAAGCACTCCCCTGGGAAAGTATTTTTGACAACAAAAACCTCCGCACCAAATATACTGGTGTCATCAACAAGGTATCCATTCAGAGGATTAGAAAATGTTCTGAGGTTGATGAATTTAGTAATGCCCCATCTGGTCTTAATTGCATGGAATCGCTTTACACTCCCATCTGCATCAAGGAACTGTAACAATATTTGTATTTACTGCATACTAAAATAATTATAATTAAGTTGCCAATAATGCTACCTTGGGGACTAAAGTATTTGCCCTGAAGCTGATTGAAAATGAAAAAAATTAAAAATCACATTCACTTCCCATCCAGTTGGTAGAGAACTCGTCCCCATCAACTCCAAGTACAAGGAGATATGATTTGTCACATTCTTGCTCTTGTCCCCGGTTAGATAAATATAAAATTTCCTGCGATAGCAACTATAATTGTAAGCTCAAGAAGATTTTTGATAAGTTAAAAAGTGAGAAAAACTATTTGAGATTATCATCATTCTTAAACAGCTTGTGGGTTACGAGACTATTTTTTGATTGTAGAATCATTATTTTCATAGACATAACCTACGATTTACATAATTAACATTTTAAACCAGATTGTAAACTATAAATGAATACGTGGAGACAAAACATACCATTTGAAGCCTTCTACATAAAAAATGTCCGAGATGTATGTCTTGAATGAAGATTTAGACAGATTTGAGAAGGGCTTAATTTTGAACAAGTAATGACTAGGTGGAGCATCCCTTCCTAAAATAAAATAAAATCCTATAATTATAATTTACAGATTGAAATTCTATGTATTTCCAATAACTTGTTCGTTTTAATGAGTAATTCAGGTTATGAATTTATTAGAAGACGTTCATAATTTATGAACTCAATAAACGAAAAAAGTTTATGAAGATAGATGCTCACAAAATATACATACATCCTCAGTATGTCAAAAAAAAAACAAAAAGAATTCATGGAAGAAATACCTATTAAGATGGCTTCTTCATTAGAATCTTGGGAACCCGTGTTGAATTGAAAAAGTACTGAAAGTGAATGTAAACGGGAGGAATTTATGTAGTTTTACTAAAACGCATTGAATTCGAAAAGTTTTATATGTGGTTAATTAGCTATTAAGAGACTGGTCAAGGCCGCTTCGGCTGCAATTAATGTTTGCCCTTTGCTTTTTCCTTTTCTAAATGGCTTGTTCCCACCTTTTAGGTTTCCAAGGCGAACTCCATTGGAGTGAGGGACTTTTCAGTTTTCAATGAAAGCATTTCCATGTATATATTTAAGATAATGTTAGCCTAACTCTCTCTTCTTACTTTTTTTTTTTTTTTTTTTTTTTTTTTTTTTTTTTTTTACTCACTCATGTTAATCTCTTTTCTTACTCTCTTCTATCTCTTTTTGCACCCACCTACCACATGAGTGAATAAGAGAAATGAATAAGAAGAGAAAGTAAGACTAGCATTATTCTATATTTAACTCCTGCTTTAACAGTATTGTACAAAGAATTTTGAACTCCCTTCATCGTACTATATTGAATAAATTGACATTTGAAACTATTGTTTATGGGCTCAATCTTTTTTAGATTGATGACTACTCAATATGAAAGAAAATAATCAAATGGAAAAGCCTTAATTATTTCAAAAACTTAATTAGTTAAATCTAGGGCTGAGAGAAACAAGAAACGAAAATTTTAGTGAAAGGGTAATTGGATACTTCTTCATTCATTGTTACAAACATTTATACAAATACAGTAGCGTGTAATCGCTAACATAATTTTCATTTTATTTTTTTGGAAGAACGACATTTTCCCACTCAAGGTTTGGCAAAATGACACTTTCCCACCCTTCAAGTTTCAAAATGACATTTTTCCATCCTTCGTTAGGTTCTATTATGTTTTCCGTTAATATTTTACTAAAAATACAAAAATGCCCTTAAATATTTGACTTTATAAATTTTTCATTATTTTTTAATTAGCCAAAATGTCAAATATTAAAAAGTAAAAAAAGAAAAAATAGTTAACCCCGCCTAAAAAGTTAAGAATAATGTTATGGAATTGTTAAAGTTAAATGACCTTAATATTTATTTATTTATAATACCATCAATATCTTATCACTATTATTCAATAATCTACTAAATTTATAATTTTTTTCATAATATATTAATTTAATGTTTTTCATTTTTATCAATTAAAATAGAAAATCAATATTCTTAATTAATTAAATAAACAAAGGAAAAAAATATATTTTTACACTTAAACTAATAAATAATCGAGTAAAAACTTTGACTTAACTAAATTTTAATTTATAATAAACTAATAAGAAATAAACTATTTAAGGGTATTTTCATATTTTTAGACAAATATTAACAGAAAATGACAAAGAGTGGGAAAGTGTTATTTTAAAACTTGACAGGTGGGATAGTGTCGTTTCACCAAACCTTATGTGGGAAAATGTTGTTCTTTCTATTTTTTTTTTATTTTTTCCAAAACTTGTTATGATTTTCATTTATTTTTATGAATTTAACATAATTTTAAGATTTTTTTTTTTTTTTGATATTTTTTAGTTTTTCCTTCTGAAATTTTAAAAATGTTTTTGAAGGGTAAGTGGGTAACATCATCATTTAGTAGTCAAAAAGGGTTAACAGTTAGATTTAATGGCAAAAATAATGGTAAGGAAGGTGGTTGGATAATTAGCAAAACATAGGGACCAACTTGTCAATTTCGAAGAACACATAAACACGAGAGTGTCAATTTAACATCGAGCACAGACTAATTGGCTTGTTCCTTTCTTTTGGGTTCTTGTAAGAAATTTTAAAATAACATATAAGTAATACTAACTAATCAAAGCTAATACAAGCCACACTAGAGGGAGAAAGAAACTTATATAAAGTGACAAACACACTCCTTTGTGTAAGGGTCAAAATCTAGCTCTACTCAGACTAGAAATCTTAATACTAATCAATTAAATCAAACACTAATACTCATCTATTTAGATAACACTAATCTAAATAGAAATAACGATAATTGTTAATAATGCTAAACATGTTTAGTTTAATTCCAAACAATTTTCAAAGTTAACTCAGTGCATTGTGATGGATTTTTTTTTTATTTTGAAAAATATATTTTAAGAGAAATTTTATCAATCTATCTGGTTAAATGGGTCAATTTAGTTAACAATCTAGGTATTAATACAATTAACTTATAAAACTATATATTATATTTAACACTAATACTAATACTCATCTATCAAACTATATATCTCAGGGACATAGCCAAGAATTTAGTGGACGAAGGACAAATTATTATCATATAATCGATGTTTAATATTAATATTTTAAATATATTATATGTTAAATTTATTATTAAGTGTTTTGGTGTATAATGTATTAATATCACATTATTTAGTTTTTTTTTTTTTTTTGGAAAACTGATAATTGTATTAAAAAAAAATAAAAAAATTATCTAATAAGGGGAATTCCTTCCCTTCAAAGAACCTTGGACAAGCCCAAGGAACAAACTAAACAAAACAAAAGCATAAACAATCCTTTACAAGCCAAGCCCAGACAAAAAGAAGGCCCAGGCAACTAAACTAAAAGAAGCATACAAAATATCCAAAAGAATATTAGACTGCAAGCCCAGAAGCCTAAAGAAAACCGTCCGGCCAAGACGACACAGGCCCATGATCTTCATGCGCAAGACAGTATCTGCTGGCCCAAGATGGCAGAACCCAAGGTAGAATGAGAATTCTCCCAATAGCTAGGTCCAGACAGCAGACAGGCCTTGGGGCTCCAATCTCAAATGGGAAGCTGTTGGCCCGAAAAGGAATGAACCAAATGGAAAGGGGCTGTTTGGACCTTGTCATCATTCTTAAACAACTTGTGGGTTACAAGAAATATTTATTGAACGTAGAGTCATTCTATTCATAGACAATAAACGGAGACAAAACATACCCTTGAAGGCTGAAGCCCCCTGCATCAAAATTGTCGGAGATGTATGTCTTGAATGAAGATTTAGACAGATTTTAGAAGGACTCAATTTTGAACAAGTAATGACTAGGTGGAGTATCCCTTCCTGAAATAAAATAAAATAAAATCTTATAATTATAATTTATAGATTGAAATTGTATTTGCCTCAATGAATTGTTTGTTTTAATGTTATTCAGGTTATGAATTTATTAGAGACTTTCATAATTTATGAACTCATTAAACAAAAAATTGTTTATGAAGATAAATGCTCACATATTATACGTACATCCTCAGCATGTCAAAAAAAAAAAAAAAAGTTAACTAAAGAAATACCTATTAAGATGGCTTCTTCAAAGGAATCTTGGGAACCCATGTTGAATTGAAAAAATATTGAAAATATAATATAAACAGGAGAAATTTATGACGCTGTCTAGCAACTATGCCTTTAGAGTTAATAAATAAGTCTCAATTACAGAAACTTAATTGATAAAGTTTGAAGGAAAATTTGAAAAATTATTCTATATCTCTAAAGAAATGAATAATATGTTGATATAAAGTAGTAGCAGTCAATCCTAAGAAGATCCAATTAAACAAGAAAATAAAATTATAATTAAACATAAAAATTAATTAAAAGAAGAAATTGACTAAACTCTAAATAAAATAGGAAAACTCTCAAGTTTAGCTTAGGCTTAAACAGGTCCCTTTATGGATGAGGTTTTGATCCACTATTCGCCAGGCCTTTTATGAGCCTTATTTGGGCATGTTTCCACAGATAACCCAATATATTGTTTGGGCCAATCAAGCCCAAAGTAGTTTAACCATTTTGCCCGTATAAATAGTGACTCCCACCAACGTAAGCTATTAGGAATTTTTTTTTTTTTTCCTTATTTAAAAGTTGGAAGAAAAATGATCTGAAAATTTTTCTTATGCATGGTTGAAAATGCATCATTCTTTGGTAAAAATTATCTTATACATCTATCACCTTCCAACGTATTTTTCCTTGATTGGTTTTACATTTTACAACTGTCTAAAATAAAGCTTAGACTTGACTTCTTTCGTTTGAGTCTTATACCATTTTTCCCTTCCACTTTCTTCACCATTATTTTCCTTCCTTCTCTTTACTTTTAATAAGTGGCATAAACCACATATAGAGAGTGCAAGAATTTAAGGAAAAAATTGTCAAGAACGTTTACAACGCTCCAACTTCTCTATCTTAATCAATGAAGACTTTGACTTTTCTCGTGTCTTAATGTTGGAATGGTCAAAAGTATTTTTATGTGTTGATTATTAAAGCTTTTTGATAGAGACAAAAGTAGAATACACGTCTGTCTATTCTTTTACGTAGGAAAAGTTTAAATCTGAATTGATTTAATTATTTCTTTGTTATCAAATCAGATTTATTTTTAATTTTTAATTTACAGCATATTTTTCAAACGCTTTTTTATTAAAAGGGCTTTCTCACAAAAATTATTGCTTTAGTAAGAAATAAAATATAAGAAGTTTTATATACCATTGCTTCACTTTATATAGCACTGAACACTGAACTGTAAAACTTACGTTATATTACCTTATTCATATAAGGTAAATAACCTTTTGATTTTCATCAGTTTTAAACCTTGATGGTCCACATTAGCTGTTCAGTTTTCAAATGCTTCAGTTTTCAAACGTTTGGGATTTATGGCAACCATTAAACATGCCATTAAGAGCTTGATAGAAGCTTGGTTATGTATATTATTTTGGTCCCTAAGCTCAAGAACTCGATTATACTAAATTATACACCATTAATGTTAGAGTGTCTAGAGAGCTTAAAAGAGCCAAAATACAGCTGTGTGAGTTTGTTTCAATGGCTAGAGGTAATTCTTAGGGCCGACCCAAGGGGTAGGCAGGTGAGGCACCTACCTAGGGCCCAAAAAAAACAAAAGCCCGAAAAAGGGCCCAAATTATTTTAAGATTTTTTAAATAGGTTTACAGAAATACCATTGGGCCTAAAAAAATTTATATAATTTTTTATCCAAACTAGTCCAAAGGGCCCCAAAAAAGCCAAAAAGGCCCAAATTCATTATAATTTTTTTACATAAATTTACAAAAAAACCATGTTTCATATTTTCTATTCACACCCCTAAATTAACTAATCTAATTATTTAAATGTGTAAAATTTTAAAACACTCATTCAATCCCTAAAATAATTAAAACATTGCATCTCCACCCCTCTACACCGCCATGACGTTAAAGTGATGATTCTGGTCAATTTTCTCACCAAAATCGACCAGATTCATCACTTAATCATTTCCAAAACATTTTCCTAGCCTTGAAAACCCCCAATTTGGTCCATTTTTGCTAATTTTCGCAACCCATTTTCATTCTTCACCATGTGTGACAGCCATTTCTGGCATGTATCTGCTATCGTTGACCTTCCCTGACACCACCATCTTCGTCCCCTTAGCCCCTTCCCCAAAACCACTCACTTACCTGACCCCAGTAGCCCGCGGTCCACCTCCCGCCCTCGTAAGAAAGAGTAGGTAATTTGATTATATTATCAAATGAAAATGATTTGGTTTCTAAACTTGAATATAAAATTTTAATTAGTGGTTTTGCATATCAGAAGGCAAGAAAAATAAATTTGAAATAATTTTTTAATATATGCTTATATTATTAAAAATATCCTAAAGTAACTCTTGTCTAGGGTCACAAATGTTCTTGAGATTTATAATTTAAGAATATTATATTCTTTGTATTTCTGTTTAGATTACAGATAAATGTCTTACAGTTGGTATTAGAGCCATATAATATCTCTGACTTGATGTTTTGCAAAAGAATTTTTTGAAGCTTTTTGTTCATGGCCATTTGAAATATTTTTTAAATCAAAGTTTGTTTTTTAATGAAAATAAATGTTTTAAATCATTAGGAAATTGGATTTCTATCATTTCTGGGCTTTGAAATAATTATTTTGGAGTTTAAATAGTGGATTTTCACCCGGGTTTGTCTATTGGGTCGTTTTTGGGTCGGGTATCCTGTTATAGATCCGATCAAAAGTTGAAGATGACAGTCGATGACATGTCATTTTTCCTTTAGATTTGAAAACGACATGTCGTTTACTTTTCAATTAAAATAAAAAAAACAAACTTAGATCTGGCGTTCTAGGACTTGGACCCGTGATCTCATGTAAAGAGATGTGCTACTGGGCCAAACAAACCATTTTAAGTTTCTGTCATAACATTGGTAAAATAGGGTTTATACTATTTCTAATTTTGCTCATTTTAATTATGCCTATTATATTAATTTTGGTTTAATTATATGCATTTTTTAGATAAGTTAAGTTGTGCAGAATCCTAAGTTAATTATGCTCATATTTATCTTTCATGAATTGATTATATCTTTCTACATGCAATTTTTGAATGAGTATATATGGATAAAGGCATAATATTAAATGTTATGCATAATATTATAGTTTTCATTATGCAATATTTTTATGCTTATGAGAATATTTTGTGCATAATAATAACATATTAGTATTTGATTATGTAATTCATAATATTAAGCTAGTCTTTATGGGATTTAATGTCTAGTGATCCATATAATTTTAATTAATTAGAGAATAGCCACAGCATCTTTAATTAAATAAAATTATATATTATGATTAATTAGGATCACATAAAGAATATTAGACATTAATTGTAATTAATGATACTTAATATAATAAAATTTTTTCCCACAGGAATTTTTATTATATTTATATTATTAATTAGGATAAAATATCAAGTTATTCATAATTTACCCATAGGAATTATGAATTTAGTAAATAATTTGATAGTTTTATCATAAAGTTTAATCATAAAGAATAAATAAATCTGCTTGAATTAGAAATTTAGCCCATAGGCAATTTTTATGTCATTAGATTCAATTTTTAAGCATGATTTACATTGGTAAAGTATGATATTTTGTTTAGGCCTCAGTTTTAACATAAGCATGTAATCTATAATTTAATGCAGTCGTACAACCTGCAAATTTCTCTGATATTCGTTTTGATATCCCTGAACTTAAGGGAGATAACTATAAGGTCTGGAAGGAGAAAGTTCTTCTTAATTTGGGGTGGATGGACATAGACTATGCTATTAGGAAAGACGAACCACCAGCACTCACTGATACTAGTACTGCAGCGGACATCACGCCTTATGAACGATGGAAGCGATCTAATCGTCTCAGCGTGATGTTCATTAAGAATAGAATCTCTGCTAGTATCCACGGTTCTGTTGATCAACATGAAAAGGTCAAAGACTTGCTAAAAGCGGTTGATGATCAATTTATCACTTTAGACAAGGCACTAGCAAGCACCCTGATCATGAAGCTCTCATCCCTAAGGCTCATTGGTGTGAGAGGTCTGCGCGAGCACATCATGCAAATGAGGGATATTGTGGCTGAATTGAAGAATCTTGAGGTTGAAATGTCAGATTCCTTCCTGGTGCACTACATCTTGAACAACCTTCCGCATCAATATGGACCCTTCAAAATCTCATACAACACACATAAGGATAAATGGTCAATTAATGAACTTATGACCATGTGTGTTCAAGAGGAAGGGAGACTGGCGATGGAACATGGAGAAAGTGCAATGCTCGCAACACATGGAAAGGAAAAATATCAAGCCAATAAGAAAGGGAAAGGTAAAATGCCTCCCCAAAGTGGTATCAAGAAAGATTTCAAGTGTTTCTTCTGTAAAAAGAAGGGACATATGAAAAAGGAATGCGCCAAATTTCAGAAATGGCTTGCGGACAAAGGTAATCCAACCTCATTTGTCTGTTATGAATCTAATATGGTTAATGTCAATATTAACATATGGTGGATTGATTCTGGATCAACAATCCACATTTCAAATTCCTTGCAGGGTTTGCAAAACCTAAGGAAGCCAATGGGAAGTGAGCAAAATATCTTATCAGGAAACAAGATGGGTTCGCATGTGGAAGCTGTAGGAATTTGCTATTTAATTTTAAGTAGTGACTTTGTTTTAATGTTAAAAAAGACCTTTTATGTTCCAAGTTTTTCTAGAAACTTGATTTCAGTTTCAAGGCTTGTACCCTTTGGATATTCCTTTAATTTTTCATATTCATCTTTCAACTTATTTTATAAATCTGATTGTATTAGGAATGGTGCTTTGTCTGATGCTCTTTACTGCATTAATTTACAAAACAAAGCCACTGACGATTCAATGCATGTTCACACTGGTGCTAAAAGATGTGTTATTAATGAGGACTCCTCTAAATTATGGCACAGGAGATTAGGATATATCTCCATAGATAGAATTAAAAGACTAGTAAATGAAGGAGTACTTAATACTCTGGATTTTACTGATTTTGAGACTTGTGTGGACTGCATAAAGGGAAAGCAGACCAACAAGTCAAAAAAAAGTGACAATAAAAGTTCGGAAATATTAGAGATCATACATACTGATATATGTAGTCCAGACATGGACTCACATGGTCAGAAATACTTCATCTCTTTTATAGATGATTACTCACGATATATGTATCTCTACATGCTTCATAACAAGTACGAAACATTAGATGCCTTTAAAATCTTTAAGGCTGAAGTAGAGAAACAATGTGGTAAGCAAATTAAGATCGTAAGATCAGATAGAGGTGGAGAATATTATGGTAGATACACAGAGGATGGACAAGCATCTGGACCATTTGCAAAGTTTCTTCAAGATCATGGGATTTTTGCCCAATACACAATGCCTGGTTCACTAGACCAGAATGGTGTAGCAGAAAGAAGAAACAGAACATTGTTGGACATGGTGCGGAGTATGCTTAGCAGCTCCAATCTTCCTAAATCCTTGTAGGCTGAAGCACTTAATAAGGCAGTGTATATATTGAACCGAGTTCCAACCAACGCTGTTCCTAAAATGCCATTTGAATTATGGAAAGGTTGGAAACCGAGTTTGTGACATATGCGCGTTTGGGGATGCCCGTCTGAGGTGAGAATTTATAATCCACAAGAGAAGAAGCTGGACCCAAGGACCATTATTGGGTATTTCATTGGATATGCTGAAAGGTCTAAAGGTTATAGATTTTATTATCCATCTCACAGCACTAGGATTGTGGAATCAAGAAATGCAAAGTTTCTTGAAAATGACTTGATCAGTGGGAGCGATCAAACCAGGAACATATTTATGAGAATAATTATTCAAAATCTCAACCTTCCACCTCAAGTGATAAATTGGTTATTGTTTACAGCACCCCTCAAGTACAAACTGGTGTTGAACAACCAATCATTGAAGTTCCACAAGCTGCTGACAACATTCCAGTAGATCAGGTAGTTCAAGAGTTGCCAAGAACTTTTGAACAACGAGTTGAACCACATACTTCTTCAGAATATGATGGTATAACATTAAGAAGATCTATTAGACCAAGGAGATCAGCAATTCCTAATGATTATGTTGTGTATCTGCAAGAATCCGACTATAACATTGGAGCCAAAAATGATCTCAAGTTCTTTTCATAAGCCATGAGCTGCAAAGAATCAGAATTATGGTACAGTGCCATGAAGGAAGAGATAAATTCTATGAAGAGTAACGAAGTCTAGGATCTTGTTGAGTTGCCTAATGGTGTAAAAGCCATTGGATGTAAATGGGTCTTTAAGATAAAGAAGGACTCATTAGGCAACATTGAGAGATACAAGGCAAGACTCGTTGCTAAGGGATTCACTCAGAAAGAAGGAATCTATTACACGAAGACTTTCTCTCCTGTATCTAAGAAAGATTCTCTGCATGTGAGTTTGGCATTAATAGCCCATTTTGACTTAGAGTTGCAACAAATGGATGTGAAAACGGCATTTCTCAATGGAGACCTAGAGGAGGAGGTTTATATGAAACAACTTGAAGGATTTTCCTCTAGTGATGGTGAGCACTTGGTTTGTAAGCTCAAGAAATCTATATACGGTCTAAAACAAGCATCCCGCCAATGGTATTTTAAATTCCATGGGGTTACTTCATTCGGTTTTGTTGAAAACCCCATGGATCAATGTATATACCAAAAGGTTAGTGGGAGTAAGATATGCTTTCTTATTTTATATGTAGATGATATTTTGCTTGCAACCAATGATAAGGGTTTGCTGCATGAGGTGAAACAATTCCTCTCTAAGAATTTTGATATGAAGGATATGGGTGACGCATCTTATGTCATTAGCATTAAGATCTATAGAGACAAATTTCGAATGAAAGATTGTTCACCAAGTGTGACTCCCATTGTGAAGGGCGATAAGTTCAATTCGAACCAATGCCCAAATTAAAGAGCGATTTTGAAAGGGAACAAATGAAGAACATTCTATATGTTTCTACTGTCAGAAGCCTGATGTATGCTCAGGTCTGTACAAGGCCTGACATTGCATTTATTGTCGGAATGTTGGGACGATATCAAAGTAATACAGGTTTAGA